TGAGAAGCCACTCCTGGTATGTAGGGCCACTCCATCGCCTTTACCCCGTTCTCATCCAGTTCTCATTTCCACTCTTCCGTGAAGTCATATCACTGCATTTCTTCTTATACCTTAGCCACCTTTCGCATCCTTCCATCTGATTCTCCTCGCATCTTAGGAAACTGTGACTGCAATGAAGTACACTCCTCAAGAGGTTTCCTTTCTTCTGGTTGCCGGGTTGCTGTTCCTCTGCTTTGGCTAACTGCTCTACACAATTTAGTAGCTTAAGCACACTTAACCGAGTCGTCGAGCCACCACTGACTGACTTGCACCCAACTGCACGCTGATCTCTCAGCGACGTCTACCGCAAGCACCTCCTCATCGGGGATTTTTCTGTCCTTGCAGAGAAAACGGACAGGACTCATGTCACAGCGTCAACCACTATTGGGCGACCTGGTATGAACTTCATATTCACTCTGGCTACTTCGCCTTAAGTATTGGCCTTACATAAACTCCCGCTGTCTGCGAGAGCAAGCGGAGAAATCGACAATACTCTCGTCTCAAGTCCATTGCGATTTTGCGGCTAACCGCAGTGGGCTTATTGGGTGTCTGCAAGTCAGGTAGTTTGCACAGAATAGCAAATATCTGTGCAGCCTCAGAAAGTATCTGAGAAGGAACCCAGGTTTTAGACTGATAAGGAGTGGGCATCGTCCGGAATGAGGATAACGTCTTGGACAGGCAACCTTACTTGGTAGCATAGACAGATGAGCCCACCTGTCCACACATTTTGTCTCCCCGATTATCGGCGCAAAATTCCATTATGGGAGTGTCAAATAGCTTGCTTTTCCACTGTATTTCACGTGTTGCACCTCTACAGCTGCAGGACTTCCTCAAAGTCAATTTTAAAAATTCGCTCAATGTGAGCCTTCAGTTTGCAATACTTCGAGGCTGACTTCTGAGATATAAATGGAGAAAACTGAAGAACTAGGCTATTGTTTATGTCGCCACGGAAATCGCTCTGGAGAGTAAAACTACTCCAATTGCCAAATGACCGCATCATTGCAGTCTTCTCACCACAGCCTACCTTCGCGCACAACTGAGCGAAAAGTGAAGGCAAGCAAGTTGCCGCAACGACTCTACCTTAAACGCTCAAATCGTCATTTGTATAATTTAGAAAGCAGGCTGCCAGGGATTATGGCGGTCAATGGAGACTGCATGGCTGTTAGCTTAACATAGGGAAACGTAGTTTGTTTGTTTGGTTTATATTCTGTCGATAGCTCCACAGACCCGAGCTTTTGCATCTGGCTCAAGGTAATTGTTGAGCTCAACGCTCAAGAGGTGTTATCCAACGTCATTGCAGGGTGGCGTTTGGCTGTCCCGACTGATTGTGAACTAATGGATATTGCCTATTGAGTAGAAATTACTCTCGGCTATGGTTGCCAGGAGGAGGGCGGTGGTGCTAAATCGGGGCTCTGGAGGCAAAATGTATGCTTTCGTTGGGCCTTGCAATCAGGCTTCATGAGACTTTGACCGTAAATCACTAGAAGCGATGAATAACTGTTTCATGTTCAAATTGTATAGTTTTTTTAGACTGTTGCTGAGACTTGCCTGTTCGACAACGCCAACTAAGGCAAAAGTAGCCAACCCAGTCTCTCGTGATTATGCTAGGTGTAGTTATCAACAGTGCAAGATCGGAAGAGCTATCGCTAGAAGAAATTAGCAGACTGGTGTTTCTAATAGCTGAATCGGCTGCCCAGCTCAAAGAGCTTGTCGCACAAAACACCTAAAACGAAATCAAGTGCAACAGGTAAACTCGTTATAGTCCATGACGTCATCAGTTGTAGCATTTCAGACGACATACTGTGGTAAGTAGGGAGAGTTGTACCATCTGAAATCACATGTCAACGACTTATACTCCGTCATTAAAAACTTTCCAGCTGCAAGCACTGCGAACAGGCCAATTTTACTGTGTAATTAACTATATTTTTGCGTGGAGAGACTTGCCCTGAAAACACGGCGATAAAGTCTCTCAGACTAAATGCGTTCACCTAGCGGGGTAGAGATGAGACATAGTCGATTATTCGCACATCCGGAAACTTGCGTCCTCAGCTCAGCGGTAGAACACCCAGCGCGTAGTCGGGTGTGACACATGTTTTCTGCCTTTTTCCCGTATATCCCAGAGTCTGTCGTCAGAAATACTTCGACTGTCAGAAGTTCAAACTGTTTGTCAAATGTTTGTGGACCTTGAGCCGGTCAACTTTTAGCTAAACCTGCTGCCTCCAATGCCAGTGGTTGTGTTATGGTTTAAAGAACGCGGGTGACTACTTGCATGCGCTTTCAGTGCTCATGTCTGCGGTAAATAGCTGGTCTTCCAGAATTTTTTGACCTGGTTACCCGTCGGTTAAGACTGTACATGGCGACTTCTGGACAAAATACTGTGCCAATGTGCCGTCCTGTAATCAGGCCCAATCAATGAACTAGCCGACACTCAAATAATGAGAATGCATTGCTTGCTTGCGGCGAAAGTCTTACTTGATCATTTCGTAATCATTTCAGTGTGTACAGGCAGTGGCGATCTGATGGAAAAATGTCGTCTTTTAAAATCCTTTGGTTTATAAAAAGTTTAAGACACAGGAAGCCCGCACAGCTCATTTTACCGTAAGCCTAGTTATTCTCTATCTGGCCGTAGGCAGGAATCGTTAGGTAAATACAAATTGTCGACGAGGCTAAGACACAATTTGTGCTAGGAACTTGTAAAGTTAACCATAAAATGGGGGTAGCTACCTCAGGCAATCTGATGGCATGGCACGCCGGATGTGGTCACTCTTTTTGCGAAGCTGTACGGAACGTTTTTCCTATTACGCTGTACCGTACCCCGTATGAGAAGCGCAGTGAATTTGTCCTATGCTAATAACGGATAAAATTTCATCGGAAATGAACAACTTTGTAGTAAAAGCTGTTTATTGGCAGATATGTGCGGGGTCACATGCTTCGGAAACCAGTAGATGGTGATATTAATAAATCATAAGTAAACTACTGTTTTCTTTACTTTATTTGGTGTCAGACTCCGTTTGCCTGAATACGTCAATGAGAGTTTAGTGAATACCATTTAACAGGCGTGCCAGAAAATGTAAAAGAAACGTTAGAATAAAGGACCAATTCAAATTTCAGGAATCCCTTCCGTCTCTGTTCGTCTTAGAATTTGAAACGGTCGTAGAAACGATTGATGCACGTTGAGGGAAGTTTGGGTGCGGAAAACAGAGCAGAGTAAGTATGACCAGGTTTACTACCGGTGGCGCATAAAGTCGCTTAGTCACTTAAGGACAAAGCAGGTTTTCCATCAAATGATTATTTATTTATATTTTTATCGAATAGGAAACTTTTACAACTATATAAGAAGAAGGATGCCAGGCAAATGACCCTCATTTTCCGCTTTACAAGCACGGGCGCTTTATATGGTATTTTCCACTACAGCTCTTAACAGATCTGGCTGCAGTGCGTGAATTTATCCCAGACTGTTGTTCTAGGGTCTGCTGGGTGAACCCGGATTAATTGACGTACAGTCCGTCCTCAGAGAACTTCGAATAAGAAATGTGATGCTGTGAAATTGGGCCAACGTGGGAACCAGCCGAGATCTGAATTGTTCTCTTTGAAAGCCTGCTTCAGCAGCCGCATTGTATCTGGGACTGTATGGGCAGTTAAGACATCTTTCCGCCACCATGTCTCAGGCCTGCTTACCACTGCGGGACTCACATAATTGTCCACTATTTTTTGATATCGGTCGCTGGTCGCTGCAGCTGCATCAGCATCCTTATCTTGGGAAACGTAAGGCCTGACTACACCTTCATATGCTGCGTCGCATCAAAACGCGACCTTAAGAGGGGCGAAGTTCATGTTGATAGACAACTGTCAGATTCTCTTTGTTACGAAACCTAGTAATCAGCTTGCTCCCATGATCACTCAAATGAAAATGAGCTTCGTTCGCAATAAAGAAACTATGAATAAAGTTATCACAGTTTTTGAGTGTCCTTTGGGTTGGATGTGCATAGATTGGCCGTTTCTGGTGACCCTTCTACTTTAGTTGGTATACATATTATATCGTATATGGATGCGGTTGCAAATGTGTTTCACATGCTAGAGCAGAGTCCGTATGATCACAGGTTAGCGGGAACGTCTTAGAGTTTCTGGCTTTTTCCTGAACCCTCCGCTGCACGTGTCCAGTATTTTCCAGCTTGCGTATCGAACGTGATTTGTTGACTCGTACAAAACCACTAACAAGTCCCAGCTGCTGGAGACGCGGAAACTACTGCCGCAGCGTTAGTGTCCTGGACTGATGCCTGGATTGCGAATAACACAAAATC